TTTTTATTTGTATTTATAATATTGAAAATCACAAAACATCTACTACACTTCGTTATAATTTGAAACCCTCAACAAAACTATTAAATTAAGTTCTACTTCTTTTTTTTGTGATATCCAAATTCCCTATGAATACCTTCTTATTAAAAATTATATTTTCGGAAACGAGAGAAACAACTGATTATTAATATTCTCGTCAATATAACCCAAAAAACAAAACAAATCAAACAAACAAACGAAAGCGAAAAAACTGATACGAGAAAGAGAAAAAGATCAGATTCTCTCAAGATAAAGATTCGCAGCACCGTAATTCTCTCAAATCAGCCTAATTCGTATTTCCGGTGAGGTGAATTCGATAAATCGCAAAAGGAAAAAGAAACAAAACGAGAAAGAGACAAAAACAAAGAATGGGAAAGAAGCGGGGGTTTGAAGTGTAGTCGAACGAGAGGGTGAGGAGTGTGGGGGTGGACTTAGTGAAAGAGAGGAAGGGAGAAGGGGGTGGTCAGGCTTGAAGAATGCATCGAAATAAAAGAGAAGAAGAAAGCTTCCGATAATCTTTCTTCCCTCGTCGACCCACATTCGCGTTTTGCTGCTCACTGCCCCGTCATCAAGGTGGAAACTTTTATCTCTCTCTCTCTCTCTCTCTCTCCCTCTTTCCCTCTCCCTCTCTTTTTGCTCTTTCTCACACTCTTCTCTCTTTTTTTCTATCTCTCTTTCTCTTGCACACACTCACACGCATATTTTTCTCTTTCTCTTTGCTCTTTGCACTTTCTCACACTCCTCTCTCTTTATTTTCTCTCTCTCTCACACACACACACATACATTCACACATGTCTCTTTCTCTCTCTTACAAATGCACGCAACTCTATTTTTATTTCTCTGTCTCTCTTTTACACACACATATATACTTTTTTCTTTCTCTTTCTCTCTCTTACACACAGCCACAGGACAGACACACACACACACACACACACACACAGGTATACACACAGAGATATAGTTTTCTTTACTCTTTCTATCTTTTTTTATTTTCCATTATCAACGTAAGTAGTGTGTGTGTGTGTGTGTGTGTGTGTGTGGCACAAACTACCCAACGAACTTGATATCTATGACAATGCTACAAAAGAGAAAGAGAGATAGATAATCCTGCCAACTGATTTTAGTAGTTATCGATTAAACCTGACCCGGATATATCAGTGTCGCTTTGAGCACAAAACCGGTTAATCGAGAATTAATGGCAGCACTACTACTCTATGCGAGCAACGCGTTACCACCAACCTGGAAATTCCTAGTTTTTTTTTTTCTAGTTGTTTTTTTTTTTTGCATCTTTTATATAGTTCTTTCTTCTTTTTCTTTTTTTTTTTTGTCGTTGTTCTTGTTGCCTTCTTTAACCCCTTTTTACAGCTATTTTTTTCTTCTATTATTATTATTATTATTATTATTATTCTACCCTCGTGTTCACTGATTTACTGTTCTATGCATTTCTCTATTTCTATTTCTATGTTTGTGATTCTCGTATCGTTGTGAAACAAACAATGTTCTGAAAACGCGTATTTGATTAAGCCACCTTTTCCTAACTAAGAGTGGGACTTGATTTAATTTCGAAAAAAAAAGGAATTTGAGAAAAACAAAATTTCAAATAGGTTGCCAAAGCTGCGAATAAAAAAGAGAGAGAGAGAATGTTAATCGAATAACGGTTAACCCTTCATTGCATGATTTTTTCTTTTCTTTTAAAATGAATCAGGGTGATGTAATTAATGCTCTAGATTAAAGGAAAAATATTTCAAACAAAATCCTAGTGCTATTTTTTGACAACTGCGTTTTGTTGTACGCAATGGTCGCTTAAAAAAGTTGCCAGCAACAAGAAATATACAGTAGAAGGGTTTTGAGTACCTTTTTTTCTTGACTAAATATTATGATTGAAATTTCCATCATCATGCAAAGAAGGGTTTATAAATAAAATGAAAAAACGATTGTTCATTTAATTAAAAATTAAATTTACCACGAGAACGTATAAACAAAAATTTTTCGTATAATTATTCGATTAAAATTCATCATTCGCCAAATGTTTTTGTGTTTTTTTTCTTCTTTGTTTTTGTTTACATGACTTCCAAATAATTTCAATCGTATTCAATTATCCCAGTTAATAAACCCCTAATTGATTAATTATCATTATTATCCGTAAATTTAAAATTAATAATAAATAAAACTTATGTTAATGAGATCGGTCATTCGAACTGAAAAAAAGCCGAAATTTTGTCTTCAAATAATGTGTTTCGATATTTAATGAACAATTCTTTTGCTAATTTATTCTTTTCTTCTTGGTTCTTAATTTTTTTTTATCAACCACCCCCCACATTTCCCATTCTCCGTTTCTCTCCCCTCCCCATCTCTCTCCCTCTCTCTCTCTCTCTCTTTCTCTCTCTCATGAGAAAAGAAAGGAAGAATAATTGCAGAACTCTTTGAGTAAACACGTTCTTTCTTCTCTGGTGTGCTTTATTTCCTGTTAGCTCGCGCTTTCAAGGCTGGTTTCCTTGGTTAACCCCATGAGAAAGAGAAAGAGAGAGAAAGAGAGAGAAAAAGAGAGAGAGAGAGAAAGGGTCGACGACGTTATTTAAAATAGAACGCTCGGGGAAAATATTGCACACCGGGAGATTATAATTGACGGTAGAAATAATATTTAAAGAATAAAAAATAAGAAAAAAAAAAAAAAAAAGAAAAAAGAGACACTAGGTTTATATATAGAAAAAATAAAAGGGAAGAAAGAATGAGGATCCTTTGTATGTGATTAAAAAAAAAAAAAGAAAATTATTACACTTCTTAAAGGGCAACCCCTTAAAAACCAACGTACACAGATCAGAATAATTATTCTAACCGGGATGAAAAATAAAAATTAAATAAATAAATAAAAAATGAAAAAGAATTCTCTTAGCGTGTTTCTTTTGCGTTAACGAAAAATAAAATATTCACTTTTGTTGTTGTTGTTTTCTACAACAAGAAATGTAATACTTGAATTCAAAAATAATTGCATCCTTTTTATACCACTCTCATTTTTGTTCTATTAATTAATAAAAATATAAGGTTCAATTGTGTTAACGTTAACGATCAAGACAAATACTTTTAACTTATATATCAAAACGTGTGT